GAAGAGGAGGAGGAGGAGGAGGAGGAGGAGGAGGAGGAGGAGGAGGAGGAGGAGGAGGATAAAGGGCGAGGAGGCGGCGGCGGAGTATGACGTCAGGATGCGAAAGGGGTGGTCGCCAGCTGGCAATCTACACGTCCGTGACACCGTCCTCGTCGTGGTAGTGGCCGTCGTCGTGGGCGCCGTGGCCTTCGCCGATGTCGACGTCGTCGCAGTTTCGGTCGTCGTCGCCGTCGTCGTCGTCGTCGGCGTCGGCGTCGGCGTCGGCGTCGGCGTCGTCGTCGGCGTCGGCGTCGGCGTCGGCGTCGGCGTCGGCGTCGGCGTCGGCGTCGGCGTCGGCGTCGGCGTCGGCGTCGGCCTCGTCCTCGTCCTCGTCGCCGTCGGCGGCCTGCGCCTCCGCCGTTGCCGCCGCGGTCCCAGCCGGCCCAGGTGCCCGCCCCGCGCCCCCCCCTCGGCGCGCCACCCCGGCGTCGGGGCGCCGGTTCTCTCGGGGCGGCGGCCGCCCACCGCGGCTGCCGGCCGGCCAAGACTCAGGAGCGACAGAAGGACGTGCACGTACATGAATCGGGAGACTCTCCATGGGGGGGGATCCCATGGGGGGGCAGGAGGGGATCCCTCCCATGGGATCCCCTCCTGCCCGCATTGCCCGAAAGATCGTATCACGCGGCCGGTCTCGCGGATCGAGAGGCCGTGTTCGTGTACATCGCTGGGCGCGTACGTCCCTTGTGGGCTTCCTGAAGGCGGAGGCACAGGTGGGGGTCCTCGAGACGGGGGTCAGTGCAAGCGGGGGTCAGCCAGAGCGCCAGGTCTGGCAGGATCCTGCAGGGCCAGGGGCGCACTGACCCAGGTTTGGGTGCAGGATCCTGCAAGGCCCGACTGACCCGGGTCTGCATGGACCCGGGCCAGGAGATCTCCGAACAGGGGCGGAGGGGCCCTCGTCGTGGTGATCCCGAGTAGGGAGGTGATTCCTGGGCGTTTGGCTCGGCATCGCTCGGACGTGTGCATTTTTTCTCGGCGAGGACCATCGAGGAGCATCCTGCACCCTCGAGCACAAAGAAGCACGCGCGAAAACCAACAACACAAGGGGAGTGGACGTCCGAGCGACGACAAGATGAATTCCTCGGGATTATCACGGTTTCCTACGGGTCCCTAGGGGTTTCTATGGGTTCCACGTGGATTCTTGAGGACACTTCGGGCCTCCTGAGGATTCCTAAAAAGTTCCTCGGGATTCCTGAGGATTCCTGGGGGTTCCTGGGGATCCCCAGGGATTCCTTTGGATCCCTAATGGCTCGGGGGGGTGGATACCATGGCTGGGGTCGTGCTATTTTCATGGCCCGTCGTCTTGCATCAATGCATCCCCTGGCCCCTCCCCCCCGCGGCCGCGCACCTGTCTCGGGGCATGAGTTGCGACCCCCCCTGGTGGATGCCTACCTCCTCGGACGCCCCCAGAGTGACCTGGACGGACTCCGGAAGGTGTTTGGGGAACGGCTTCGACAGATTTCGACAGTTTTTATTGATTTTTGAGCATTGTCGTCGTCGTCGTCGTCGTCGTCGTCGTCGTCGTGTTGTGTCGTCGTCGTCGGCGTCGTCGTCGTCGTCGTCGTCGTCGTCGTCGTCGTCGTTGTGTCGGCGTCAGCATCAGCGTCAGCGTTAGCGTCGTCGTCGTCGTCGTCGTCGTCGTCGTCGTCGTCGTCACGGCCGTCGTCGTCATGGCTGGCGCCGTCTTCGCAAACGGGCTCATCTTTGGCCCCAGCCCTTTCAGAGACGCAGGCGGATGTGTGAGGGAACTTTGAAGGGTATGGGGAGGAGAAGGAGGAGGAGGAGGAGGTGGAGGAGGAGGCGAGGCTCATGCCTGTGGGGGTCATCGAACAAATGCCGAGCAGAGGTGACTGCTGTTTTTGATCGGCGCCCGTGGGAACTGCTCTCCGAGACCACTCCCTAAAAGATCAGCGCCAAGGCGAGCAGAGTCGTCTTCGGGGATAAGGTCCTGAGGGAGGAGGAGGAGGAGGAGGAGGAGGAGGAGGAGGAGGAGGAGGAGGAGGAGCAGGAGCAGGAGGAGGAGGACCAGTGTAAAGCGAAGAGTCATCAACGATGTTGGAATAAACCCTCCCTCCAAGCTCCCCATTCACAGGTCTACAAGGGTTCATTTCCATTGGGGGAACTGCCTCTTTGGAAGACAATCGTTTCTGATGCATGCCAAGACATCGTTCTCGGGCTTCCAACGCCACGGATCAAACTGATTGTTGCGTCTTGACGATCCTGCATCGTGCCAGAACGCCATTCCTGGGACAAACACCGCGAATCAACGTGACCGTTACACCCTCATAATCCGGGAACCATCCAAAACACAATTGCTGGTACGCTGAACATGGGAAACCGTGAACTTCTTGCAAATACAATAAAAGGGATGTGCGCCGCTTGAGCGAGAGCCACATTTCTAAAAGGAGCCGCCATGAATCCGTGAAAACCTTCCAATTCATTTAAACGAATGTGCGCGGTGGTAAGGCGAGAGTCTCATTTTGAATTGGAATCGCCCTAAATCCGTGAAGCTCTTGCAAACATTTGAAGCGAATGTGCGCGCCGCTTCGACGAGAGCCACATTTCGAAAACGGGTCGCGCTCAATACAGGAAACTCTTGCACATGTTTAATACGAATGTGCGCGGCGCGAAGGCGAGAGTCACATTTTGAAAAGAAACCGCCCTCCATCTGTCAACTTGTTTTCAACTTTTAAGCTTCAGAGTCAGAGGTGGTGAAACAATCTCAGGCGAAGCGCCCTGACCGCCCTGACAACTGAACTCGGGGTGCGACAGGGAGAAGTTATTTATAAGGAAATCAGGAGGATGAGGAGGATGAGGAAGAGGAAGAAAACTAATACTATTCATAAGAAGAGTACTGATAGTAATCCTACTACTAATAATACGATGAGAAAGAGGAGGAAGAGCAGGAGGAGGAGGAGGCGGGGCAGGAGGAGGAGGAGGAGGAGGAGGAGGAGAGGAGGAGGAGGAGGAGAAGGGGAAGAGGAGGAGGAGGATGAGGAGGAGGAGGAGGAGGAGGAGGAGGAGGAGGAGAAGAGGAGGAGGCGAGGAGGAGGAGGAGGAGGAAGAGGAGGAGGAGGAGGACGAGGGGAGGAGGGGGAGGAGGGGGAGGGGGAGGAGGAGGAAGGAGTTGAAGGAGTGAGGAGGAGGGGGAGGAGGGGAGGAGAGGAGGAGGAGGGGAGGAGGAGAAGAGGAGGAGGAGGAGGAGGAGGAGGAGGGGGAGGAGGAGGAGGAGGAGGAGGGAGGGAGGGGGAGGTGAGGGGGAGGAGGGGAGGGGGAGAGAAGGAGAAGAAGGAGGAGGCGGAGGAGGAGGAGGCGGAGGAGGAGGCGGAGGAGGAGGCGGAGGAGGAGATCAGGAGGCAGAGGAGGAAGAGGGAGGCGTGGGCGTGAGGCGGAGGCGGGGGCAGAGCGGAGGGGAGGAGGAGGAGTATGAGGCGGAGGCGGAGGCGGAAGCGGCGAGGAGGAGCGGAGGAGGCGGAGGAGGAGGAGGAGAGAGGATGGAAGGAGGAGGAGGAGGCGGAAAAGGAGGAGGAGGAGGATGCGGAGGCGGAGTCGGAGGCGGAGGCGGAGGGGAAAGCGGAGTTGGCGGCGGCGTTCGAGGAGAAGGAGGAGGCGGAGGAGGAGGAGGCGGAGGAGGAGGCGGAGGCGGAGGCGGAGGAGGAGGCGGAGGCGGAGGCGGAGGCGGAGGAGGAGGCGGAGGGGGAGGCGGAGGCGGAGGCGGGGGCGGAGGCGGAGGAGGATGAGGAGGAGGCGGAGGCGGTGGCGGAGGAGGAGAACAAAGAGGAGGACGACTGCGAAGACGAAGAGCAAGACAAATCATAGCAGGACACCTAATAAGAATACGAAGAAGAGTATGAACACGACGAATTCTTAGAGTACTCGTACGACTAAGAAGAAACCGAATACTCATACTACTAATCATACTAATTCTAGTAATAAGACTAGTAATCATTGGAATAATCTTAAGAAGAAGACGAAGACTAATATTCTTGAGAAGCGGACAGAGCACACTGATACTTAAAATAAGAATAATAAAAGTACGACTACAACTATGAATGCGAATGGGAATTCACAGAAGACGTATCTTACGTATAATCATGAAAATACGTATACTAATATGAATCCTTGTGATAGCAAAGGACGACTATACTAATAGTACGAGAAGAAGACTAGAAAACGAACAATCAGACTCGGACCATAATACTAATACGAAGACGATAACCAGTAGGCTAGACGAATAAAACTATAATCATTAGGGTCGACTAAGAATAGCATTGTACGAATACTCATAATATAACATTGACAATCATACTCGTAATGCGAATAAGCGTATACGAAGAAAAGACGACTAAGACTATCAATAATCGACATACGATAATAATCATACGACTAATAATTGTACTAGCACTAAGAAGAAGAGGAGGAGGAGGAGGAGGAGGAGAAGAAGGAGTGAGGAGGAGGATGAGGAGAACTAGAGCCCATGTCGTGAAAAGCCACGCCCTCGGAGGGACCGCTCTGGGGTGCACTTTTAAGCCCGTTCGGTGTCGGAGCCCACGCTGCTTCCGAGTGGGCCCGGGACAGGGCCCGTTCGGCCTCCGAGCGGGCCAGGCTCCCGCCGCCCTGTTGGCATGGAGCCCCTTCGGCTGCCCATGCGGCGGCCAAGCGTGGGGGGGCTCAGACGCCGAACGGACTCAGAGGGGAGCCGTTGGGGTGGGCACCATACCTGCAGTCCTGGGCCGACGACCGGTGGCGAAACCGTCCGCCGCCCGCCGGGGCCCAGCCTCGCCCCGGCCGGGAGCTGGTGCAGGTGGTCCGCCGGCGCCCCCCGCGACGGGGGCTCCGGCCGCCGCGATGCAGGTGCTGCGGGTGGTCCGGCGCGACGAGCCCCTCGCGTCGGTGCGCCCGGCGTTTGATCACCGCCCCGACGCCGCTCCGGGGCGGGCCCGCCAGCAGGCGGGCGCAGGCGAAGAGCAGAAGGAGGCGCGGCGGCACGTCAAAAGCGACCTCCCTCGCTGGAGTGGCCTTTGGTGCGCGGTCTCCGGAGGGTGACCACCACCCGCGAAATCACCCCAACCCAACCCATCCGAAAACCTCCATGTGCCCTCAGGGTCGGGGAACATGGAGGACACATGTATTGAATCCGTGCACCCCCCAACCCACAGCGTGGGTCTTCGGGTTGGGTTTTGGGTTGGTTCGGTGGGTATAGTCAGAGGGCGCGGGGGGCCAAGCCCAGGTCGAATGCTGGGGAGGGTCCAACTCCCAGGAGGCCAAATGCAGCGTTGGCGCTGGTACGAGTACATCTCGTGGTCGAAAACAGGCCCAATCCGGCATGATCCCGCTGAATTTCGCTCAGCCGTGCATATTCCGGCGCAGTCCAGTTGAATTCGCCGAGCGCCTTCCACTACTCGCAAAATGCCTGCTCGCAAACGTCCGAAAAACACATGTCCGCTTTGATGTAATTTATCGTAGATCCTCCGCGGGGGATCCAGGCCATTTGCGAGTAGCTACCTTGCGAGTAGAACGCGCTCGTCTATGAATCCTGGGTCCCTCCGGGCTGATCCGGCTCGGTGGCCCCGTGTGGTCGGGCGTGCCAGCCCATCTTGGCGGCGGCATCCGGAGCCTACCCTCGCCGATCATAGCTTCGGGCAACTCGGTGGCCGGCCGGGGCAGTCGGCGGCGAGCCTGGGGGGGAAGTGAGAAGCGGCGGGCCTTCTCAGAAGGCGTGGAAGTCCCACGGCCTTCCGAGGAGTTCTTTTCTCAACTTCTCTGGAGAGGCACGAGCAGCTTCTCAGGAGGCCGCGAGGGTCTCTGAGAAGTCCCGCCGCCTTCTGGGAAGGCTTTCCTTCTCTCACTCCCCCCCCCCGCTCGCCGCCGAGGTAGGGTGCGCAGCTCGTCGAAGACGTGGCGAACTCCGAGCCTTGCCCGCGCCTCTCATCGGGTCCGGCGCGTCACAGCCCTTCACCGCCCCGATTCTGGGAGCCTTTGCATGTCCTCGCGAGTCCGTCGTCAGGGTGCATTCGCCTGCGACAGCTCGTGGCAGTCGGTCAGAACGCGCCGATTCAGCGTCGATCGGTGCCGATCGGCGTCGACTCGCAAGAGCCAGCAGGAGGGCATGGGAGGCTCCCACTCGGCGGCGGGCACGCGTGGGAGGTGAGAGGGGGGCGGGCCTTCTCAGACGGCTCAGAAGGGGTCGGGGCCCCCCGAGAAGTGTCCTGCGCCTCCCCCGAAGACGCAGGAGACTTCTCAGCAGGCTGGAGGGCTTCCGAGGAGCCCCGGCCGTCCTCCGAGAGACGGCCTGCTTCCTTTTGGGGTTGCCGCAGGTGCCCCTGGGGCCCCAAGGTGCCCCCAGCTCGAAGGAAGGATTGCAAACAAAAACGAAGGGTTGCAAAGGATTGCAAAGAAACCCAGGATTGCAAAAAAAACCCAGGATTGCAACAAAAACCTTTTGCGATCCTTCCTTCAGTTTTGGATTGCAAAAAAGCCCTTTTTGCAATCCTTCCTTCAGTTTTGGAGCCCTGGGGCCCTCTGGGCCTCGTGAGGAGTGCTCTGGTCAGCGGCACCGCAACGGGTACTGCGGGTATTTGCCGAAGGCTGCCACTGTAGGGCCTGCTGCTGGCATTGCAGCGTGGACCACATCTAGCAACACCTGGCTTTCGTCGGACCTCGCCAAACTTACAAACGGTTAGCGCAAACTCTCCGAGAAACCATCCGCATGTTTTTTATTTTCGGTGCCCCGCGCTTTGCGGTTGTCGTTGCGGATTGCTTCTTCCGGAGCAGACGTCGCCTGTCCGATTGGGGGATTCTCGGGATTTCAATTAAGTCGGGCATGTCCCTCTACAGGAGGAATATTCAAAAGGCAAGCAGTAGGACGATTGTTGGACAATTGTGTGCAATTTTTGAATATTTTTTGACTGCTTGTAATTTTTCTTCCAACATCCGCCTGTAGGAGGACATGCCCGACCCAAGACCTCCATGTGTTGTTGTGGTGTTCAGGGCTCCCTTGGAGCAACTTGTCTGCAGGCCCACGCGGGCGCAACCACCGTGTCCTCAGCGATGCCAGCTTCTAGTGTTTCCAGCCTCCCCACACTTTGGTGCATTCTTGGACTTGTGCTGTGCCCCCCAAAGTGGTGGGGCGGACACTTGTCGCCTGTGTCCCCCAAAAGTGGTGGGGAGGACACTGCCGCAGAGGCATGGTGGATGCCGCGACGGCCGAGCGGGGCGGGAATCGGCACGGGAGGAGCTTGGCAGGTAAGGCGGCGCCCTCGGCCCGATCTGCCAGCTCGCCCCGCAGTAAGGAGGGCCCGACGTCGGGGCACCGGCCCGCAGGCCGCGCGCCAGAGGCCACTCTCTCCCATCGCGGAGCAGCACATGGCACACAACCATACAGTGCCGTTTTTAATACATGCTCCGCGTGCGGGTCATGTACCAAACATGCAGGGATGTAGTACTAAAAACAACGATGAGTGAGCCCGTGGCGTGCGGAGCGCGCCGGGGGCCTCGCCAGAGGCGCCGCCTCGGGGGGGCCCAGCGCCGAGCCAAGAGCTCCGCGTGGAGATCCGGAAGTTTGTGCTCATGCAATTGTTCAAGCAGGGGCGGAGCGTCCTGGCTCGCCTATAGCCCTACCAAACAATGCTCTAATAACCTTTTGTGGTTTCCACGGAATGTTGTTAGAACATTTCTGGAGGAGTCTGTCTTGTTTGAACACATCGGCTTTATGTTCTAAGAACATTGTTTTTCTTCGTAGAACATTTTCGGGTTCTAAGAACATTTCGTGGTAGGACTATAGGAATGCCGGGACGGTCGGTCCCTGCTCAAATTGCCTGCTCCTCGGGTCCGGTGGTTTTCCTCCCTTGACCGAGCTGGCCCTCCAAGAGGCAGACTGGGCAGCCGAAGCGGGTGTTCGCCTCGCAAGAGGCCCCCCCCCAGCTGCGAGCGCAAGAGGAGTCTTGGGGGCCCTGGTGGGAGAGCCACCTCGCCGCCGTGGCCCTGGCCTCCAGAGCCACGGATGGTGCCGGCGTGAGCGACGGTTCAATCCCACGGAGGAGGCAGAGCGTACTGACAGAGCCCCGAATCAGCAGGGGTGGCTCGGGTCGGGGCCAGCTCGGGTCCGTTTTGTCGGGAGTCCGAGCCCGAGTTGCCCCGGGCCCGAGCGACCTCGGACAATCCGAGCGTCCAGAGCCCCAAATCATCGGGGGCAACTCGGGTCAGGGCTGACTCGGGTTCCTTTTTCGGGGGTCCGAGCCCGAATTGCCCCGGGCCCGAGTCACCCCGGATAACTCGGGCGCCCAATCTCAGGAGGGGAAAAACACACACAGACACAATTCATCGTCCACTCCCAGGAAAATATGGGACAATATGGGAAGTGGAGGGGGAAGACAAACAGACAGAAAACATGGGAACATATTGGGAATCTTTCAATTTGTGTGTATTTATTTGTGTTTCCCAGGGCCCCTTCACAATCGATGCCCAGGGGCCACTTCGCACCCGCATCCGTGTCCGCGGCCTCGCGGGCTGTGCGCCAGGGCCGCGAACCCGCGGAGTGGAGGGGCGTTCGCAGGCGCCCGACACGCCGCGCGTCCGTGCGGCCGCGTGTCCGCGGGATCGCGCCCCGGAAGCCGAAGTCCTCCGACGTTGCGAGAGTGGCAGTATGGTGAAGCAACTCATCACCACGGCCTGGGACCTTATCTTTCCGCACCATCCTTCGAGCCAGATCGTCCTCGGAGGGTCCTGGGGCCCGAGACCTGGGTGCAAACGCCCGCGGTGACACAATTGCAACGCCAGGATCTCAAGGGTAGGTCACTCTTGCCCCGGGAAGTACAGTTCTCGACCTATTCCCCGGGACCGTTTTTTCATCCCGAGGTTAGTTTTTTGACGGGTTCGAGGTTCGGTAAGGGCCCCGGGAGGTCGAAATTAGCAAAACAGTTCCCGCCGTTTTTTTCATGCCTGGAGGGGGTCTGGACCCCCCTGGCGGTGCCTTCGGCGCCGCCCCTGGCGCGCTCAGGGCGCCAGGGAGGGAGTTTCAGCGCCCATCCAAGAACTTCGCGCAGACATCCGGCAGTTTCTTCTGTTCATGCACTTTGTTGTTCCTTTCATCTGGGGGGCCTCTAGATACGTTCGCCGCTCGTGATGGCGTGCGTGTCGCCGGGAAGCCAACATATCCCGAGACCGCTACTCCCCAAACCTCTCCTGGGCCGCGTTCTGACCGGGGCCTCGAGGCGAGGCCCGTCCTGGCGTCGAGGGCCTCCCCCAGGATGCCCACAGAGGCCACTCGCAAAGGCCACTCCTTGGCATATTGTGGGCACCGGGCGACGAGGCGGATGGGAGGAGGGAGGATGGAGGAGGAGAGGAGAGGAGAGGAGAGGAGAGGAGAGGAGAGGAGAGGAGAGGAGAGGAGAGGAGAGGAGTGATGCGGGGCGCTGTCTCTTCAAAACGAGGACCCAACTCCACAGGCTGGTAGGGGAAACAAGATGCAGAAGGCACACAGTGGGCCGCTCCCTGCGTGCACGGCCGAGAGAGGCGGCGGCAGCCGGCCGCGGCCCCCGCCGCGAGGGCCTCGAGCCCACCCGCAGCGCCCAGGGCGCCCAGGGCGCCGCCGGGCCCCTGCTGGTGAGCCTCGGCGCGCCTCGGCGTGGCGATCAGGACGACGACACGCCTTCCTTCGAAGAAGGAAAAGAAGAAGCCACATAACATAAACTCTTGGCGCTCCGCGCGGATTTCTTGGAACACTGCCTGGGCCCCCCGGCGGCGCCTCCAGCGCCGCCCCTGGAAATCCGCGCGGAGCGCCAACAGTTTCTGCCCACGTGTTTTTTTCTCTTCTCCTATTCCTCCTATTCCTCCCTTCCTTGCCCAGCGCCACCGTGGACAGGTCTCCAACCAAGGGCGAGCAGGTGGCACACGGGCCCCGACAGCAGTGGCGTCCGCGCGGGCCACGGCGCCGCCCCCCCCTCTCTCGCAGGCGAGAGGCGAGGGGCGCGGCCTCA